AGTACATGTAACCAAGATTTTGGAAAGTCGGCTTTTATTTGGAGATAAAATTCATTCCCACCTCGTGGGGCGATGCATCAATGGGGTAGACACCAATATATCTAGAGATAGAGGAATGTAGTAGTTTGTACAGTGATAAAAAAATATCAGCAATTTTAGTGACACCGTTAGTTATTTCATAGAGATATTTATCCTTTGTTGGTAGAAGTACATGAACTAATAATAGAGTATAAACAAGATGTACCTTGTTATAAAGATCATACAATCATGAAGTTTGACTATATGTTGGGTTAGAATGTTTTTTAAGTGTTTGAAGAATATTGGCGTTTTGCCAAATTAATTAAGAGGAATTTTGCAATAGTATTGATGTATTGGACTCCAATGACTATGAATGTTCTTATGAGAACTTTAAAACTAAAATGAAAGAAAATATTTGTGTTTTTTTTTTATTAGAATTTGTTTTTATATATTTTTTTTTGTTGGGTTTGTAAAACGTTATTTCACGATTTTTATATGAGAACATCATTATGTTAATTCTAAATAAAAAAATCACATATGAGTTCATTTTTCTATATTTTACTTCATTTTTGCAATGATATGTTTAATAAATAAATTAATTTATTTTACAAACTTATTCCGCGAAAAATATTCGACACCACGTGCATCGCACGTGCACTTTACTAGTAATTCAAAATTGATATAGTAATTATAACCAGTGTTTTTTGTTTTGAGACCTGGACCAGTTCGGCGGGTCGATCCGAGGTCAAGATAGGTTTGGGGTGTGTTGTTTGGACCGGGTAGCAAGTGACCCGGTCGAACCCGATCAAAACCAAGTCGATTTAGGTATTGACCAGGCTGGGTCAACTCGGTTTGAACAGAAAATTAAATATTTTGAATGTTTTTTTTAATTTCTACCTTTTTACTTTTAAAAATAAAGTTATGCATGTTGTGAAACATTTATAATGTATATGAATGACTATTTTGCACCCGATGTAATTGTATTATTACGGTTGTACCATCAGAAGTTTTCTATAAATAGGAGCTTCAGTTATAATGAAAATCGTACCTAAGAGAATACGTTTTCTCTATTCTCTCTCTTTTCCCTCTAGTTTTATAACACGTTATCAGCACGAGTCTCTACCCTGTAAATCTCGATTTGTAATATAATGAAAGTATGTTCTACGGTTGCATCTTCGAGATAATCCTCCATATCAGAAATCTAATTATCACAAATCGAAGTTTCCTTCAAACAACTACCTGCCATATTCCACAATTAAAAAAAAAAAGAAAATTAAAATTTTCTTTTATTGCTAGTTCCTTGCGAAAAAAAATTAAGGATTGTAAAAAAGTAGATCAACCGAGGAATTCAAGAGCCTACCGAATGTGTGTAAGTTGTTCAATTCCAGCTTGTGGAAACTTACTATGGAGTTATAAGGCCTGTGAGTTATCTTGTTGATGGTTTTGGAGGGGTGCCTCAGTTGGGGTATATATAGTTTTATTTCTTCTATTTGCTCTTCCAAGAACAAAGATTTGGCTGGAAAACAGAAATGGGTTTTGGAAGTCACACTTATCAGTAGTAAGATTGATGGTGCAATCATGGGTTTATGCAAATCATCACTCTCAATAACGAGATTTCTTCCGAAATATCCACTCACAAGAAAAAGGTAAACTTCACGGTTGAAACATAATGAAATACTTGAAATTTGTCACTCATCATCATCTGATGCACACACATTATTGAGAATAATGGATAAAATAGAAAGAATAAGAACTGAAGGAAAGAAAAATATAAAAAAGAGGATGAATGTGTTAGAGAAAGATGAATGTGAAAAGAAAATTGAAAACAAAAAGGCTTTGGTGTCGGCAAGTTGACATAGTGGTTCATTGCATTAATATCTAATAATATTAATTTGGTATGCATTAAAATATTATTTGTCAATTTCTTGCAAGTTGCAAGCCCACGAAACTAACGCCACCAAATGCATGCTAATGATTTTTCAATGAGGACAACATTATTTAATGCATGATGCATTCCATACAAGCATCATTGTTTGTTATATTTAAAGAAAGCATTAGTAAAAATTATTTTTGATACTATCATAATGCTTGAGTTAACAAATGCTTCATTTTAAGACCAATATTGATATAGTTTATTGAATTATATATATTAGTATATCTGAACTTTTATTTGGTACGTGGACATGTGAATATTTATGAATTAATCCATATGAAAATAAATGTGTAGCTGCATAGACCGGCTAGTGCGGCTCTGCCGCCGGCAGGTGATATTTAATGGTAGCCGACGGGTCAATTGTTGATCAAAATATTATGACAGTTATGTGAAATGGCCAAGTGTTTCAACCACTAGCAACGGATAAAATTGAAAGGCTAAATAAATCGGTCAATATATTAATTAATAATAGCCGGAATGTGGAATGGCCAGGTGGTAAGGCCACGTGCAATAAAGTATGAATGTCTATACATATATATATATACACATGGGCCGGCCAGTGCGGCTCTGCCGCCGGCGACGGGCAGTACTAATAAGTGATAGCCGATGAGTGAAATGAATGATAATTTGTATCTGGCCATGTGAATGTTGAATAAAGTCCTGATCGGGAAAGAAAATTATATGGACTAACATGATCATTAAAAAACAGTTGATAAATTCTCCAAATTTATGGAGTAACGAAAATTGATGAGATGGTACCAGAAGTTACCATATGATACCAAAAGCTACCACATAATGATGATATCATGGTATAGTGATACTTGAAGCTACCACGTTATGATAAATTAAAATGATGAAGTTGTACCAGAAGCTATCATTAGAAAATTGAACAATTTGAGAAAGTGGTATTAAAAGCTACCAGTTATGAGTGATCACACAAAATGATTTCTCAATATATGAGTCTAAGGGAAGATATCTGATGAGAAGATCACATTGATAATATGAGATCATATAGATATTACAATGATGTGCTCCAGAAGAAGCACACATGACAATAATTGTAGTCATGAAACACTACATACTTCTTGTGGAAAAGTGAAATTGATATTATTATTAATGAGAAATAAGTACAGAAAGTTCATATGGTGGAAATATGGAGAAGAGGCAGTACACACTCGATAAATACGAAATACGCAAATATTACATAATAGAACCCATAAAAGAAGGGTGCGTCTCGAGAGTATAAAACTCCGTAACTCTGCCACCCATTATTTTTTCTGGGTTCATAATGAGAGATCTAAAGGATCAAAAGCTCTTTTTCGCTTGACCCCTTGTGTTTCCACAGAATCTTGAAACGTGATGCATTCTTGAAGCTTTTTGATAAGCTCAGCAGACGTATCTGCAGATTTGAATACTTCTCTCGTTGGAGGAGATATAAAGGTTTGATATACTCCTTGGTCTAAAAATCCAAGTAAACCCTGAAAAAAAGTTATTAAAATTCAATAGACCTATGGGCTTGTTATGAAGTTTCAATTCGACCCAAGAAGCAATGGTAAACATTGTCATTAGCGTTCCATAACCGCCTGGAAGAATGATAAATGCATCGCTCTTGTTCACCATATCCATCATACAATCATAAATAGAATGAGTTAGCATCATGCATATGGAATCCTTGACGACCCTTGTTGAAGCTCTATGAAAAGGTATGATACTTTTCACTTCTATCTCAAAACATTTTCCAGCCAATAAAAGATTATCAAAAAAAGTAATGCTAGTCCCTCCATACAGTAAATTGATTTTTTGATTTCCCATATCCCTTACTAACTGACTCACAATATCAACATTTTGAGAAAAACTTACCAGTCTAGAACCACCAAGAATACATATGGTTTTGATCGGTTGAAGAAATTTATTACCTTGTGAAGACTCTGAAACATCTATCTATTTATTGATGAACTTAATTTTGAGAGGCATAAGATTATGATGAACGACTCACTATTTAAAAGGAAAGTTTTACACACGATTAATCTTACTGTTTTCTTCTGACAATTGCAATCGACAAATAAGGCGTGGAATTTTAAATAAATCTTATTTGTCGGCAGCTAGAAGATTTTCTGAAAATTACAGTGCAACTACTAAACTTCATTAGTATTATTTTTTTTGTAATAACAAGACTAGTTTTACAAACTTGATCTTTTGAAACAATATTTTTAAGACTATAACGTTCTTCTTCATTTTTTAAACGAATCCATAGAGACAGAAGCTCACGATGCACATAACCACTAGGATGTGTCTCAAGAATCTGTTGAATCGTTTGATCCATAGACTCCTTACTCAATCCATCCTTTATAAATGCTATTTTATCTTCTCGATTTTTGGACACGAACCCCACAGATTTACATCGTGTGTCACAAGTCCATCGAGCGCATTTGAAGCATCCACCTAACCTTTTTGCTCTTCGTTTCTTTGCAAAAGTACTCTTACCCATACCCGGCATATATTTATATGAATTTGGAAACTCTCCAGACAATCGAACTTTTGCTTCAATTAACCATCGAATATCACCTGGAATATCATTAATCATTAGCACCCTCAATCTTTCTATTCGAGACTGATAAATCCTTTTTATAACATTTAATGGAACAAATGGATAATATTTACGGATATTTGAGAGTGCTAAATCTATTTGTATATTTGGACCTTTGTTCAGAAATATTGAATAGATTGTCTGATAATTTATAGAAATGATGCGTATGCTATACGACTCTAAAGATAAAGAGTCTGTGCTGCAGAAGGAATGATATGCATGTGATACGATTCTGAATTGAAATATTGTGTGTCAAAATTTGCACTTGAAGTGCATTTATTGCCGCCGAAAGATGATGTGATATGTTTGTGATAAATGGGTCACAATGAATTATTGGGATGTTTACTGATATAAATGAGGATGGTTTGCATGATTAACTGATTCTTTGTAATATGACATGCTTTGTTCTCGATTGGTGAAATTTTATTACTAGCTAAATATTTTGATCAAACTGAGTATGAAAGGGGTACGATATATATGGGCCCACTACCCCTCCATGTGTGCTACTAGATATTATGGATCCACTAGATAGCCACATGTGTGATTCGTAACCTGAAGTTACGAGATGATTTAATCAAATAATGAATATATGGCACGTAACCTGAAGTTGCAAGATGATTTGATCAAAGAATGTGTATATGACACGTAATCTGAAGTTACGAGATGGTTTGATCAAAGAATGACACGAGATGGCTATGAAAGAATGAAAATAAGTGTCATAAGAAAGTGATGAAGCTAGTAATATAATCAACTCATTGATGAACTCATGAAAGAAAAATGTGTACATTACGATTGATATGAGTTCAAAGTCCTCCAATTATATGTTGAAATCGAGAACGAAATTGAGATTATATGAACTCCCCTCAAGAAACTCAATACTGAAAATACAAATCAGGGATCTGTTAAGATGAGGGGGATAATCAATTATTGAAAATTTGGAAATGATATATGCATCACACTGATGTGCAAATCATAAACTGAATGATACTGATGGTGGTGAAATATATGAAATGATATGATGATGGAAAAATACGCTGGAAGCGTTGGCATTGTGCAAATTGAAATTCCCCAAATAAGGGATGAAAGGAGACATATATACTATCGATGAAATTAATTGATAATGAGATATCTCAATATATTACAAGGAATAATGGAAATGAATATGTGTCGACACAAACAAATGAATAGCGCTATATAAATGATATTGGTGAGAATGAAATCAGCTCAATTGTGAATATTAGGAACTATTTGCAGTAAGATCATTGAAATCGATTGATGATGAGAATGAGTTTAAGAATGAAAGTTGCACAAAAGCATGATATGGCATATTATCATGAATACCACCAGTATCGGAAAATCTGAATGAATCTATATGATATTCATGAAAATTATGGCAAAGTTATTATGGTGAATATATGGAATATGCGTTGTACTTTTTTTCCCTTGGCTAAGGTTTTTGTCACATTGGATTTTCCTAGCAAGGTTTTTAATGAGGCAACATGGATGACGTATTCACATAAATAGTGTACTCTTTTTCCTTCATTAGGATTTTGTCCCACTGGGTTTTTCTTAATAAGGTTTTAACGAGGCATATTCATGGTATAATGAGGACTACTGGATAATTGATATGGTTCCTTATGATGATGAGAAAAGACTGGAGTAGCTGTACTATTTTTTTTTTCCTTCGATCAAGTTTTTTCCAACTGGGTTTTCTTGACAAGGTTTTAACAAGGCAGCACGTGAATACTGCATTAAAGATGATCTATTTGAGGGATAACAATGTTGTGATACCACAATGCTCAGGTTTTGTCCCACCGGATTTTTCTGAGGAAGCAATGTTATGATTTCAAGATGATTAGGTTTTGTCCCACCGAGTTTTCCTGACATGCTGAAGCAACAATACCTGATGGCCACAAGATATACTTGAAGATGTGCAAATTGGACTTTGTTCTAATCAATTAAAATATTGTGAAATATTTATATTGTATGTGAATGACTATTTTGCCCCCGATGTAATTCTATTATTACGGTTGTGCCATCATAAGTTTTCTATAAATAGGAGCTTCAGTTATAATGAAAATCGTACCTAAGAGAATACATTTTCTCTATTCTCTCTCTTTTCCCTCTAGTTTTATAACAATGCATATATATTTATGTGACTAACTTTTTTTAGAAACCTTGAAGCAGTATACATATATTGGGAAAACACACTTCATATACATATATCCCATAAAGAAGAATATTCAACAGGCACACACACAAACCTTGGTGTTCTATAGTTTTTTCCTTCTCTTTTTTCCCCTCTCCAGTAAATATTATCATTAGGAAGGATGATACAGTTAACCGGTACACGCTTCACATTCTATATTTTTTCGGACTGAAATTCGGACGACATAAAATTCAGCCAGTAACAATCCTCAAATATGAAGAGAATGAGACGGACAAATAATATCCGCACTTGACCTGAAGAAGGCCCCCAAATAAATTCATAATCTGTATGAAAAAGCATATGAAATAATTGAAGCATTGCCCAAGACTATATTAACTAGAATCCACCATCATTACTGAAAAATAACAACTGAAAAATTAGGAACCAAGGATATGAAACTCACTGAATCGTATAAAACAAATCAAACAAACTACATAGAATAAGCTTTTAAGGATTCGGAATTCTCAGATTCAAATCTGTGACAACCTTATTACCCAGTTATCAAAACCTATTTGGTCCACAACACAATCCTTATGGCATGATTTCTCATAATATCAATATTATCTGCTAATCGAAATTACAACTGTAAAAGAAAACTTGATAAAAAAAAGTTTTACACATACCACTTATTTACGCTCACGATCAACAGCATCCATCATTGCTTAAGTTGAGTAGACTAAAAAGGGCACTGCAGAAACAAAAGAATGACGTTTAGCATGATTTCACATGATCATTTATCCAGTGATACATGCACACGAGATGATAAGTACATAAAGAAAATTGAATTTCAGTACAAAAGTGCAAGCTTTATTCCCGTGAAAATGGTTTCATCAACAATAATCACACAATTTTCAACTAATATCTGGCAGCTTTATTCCGGTGATAAAGATCGAACAGTTTTCAGAGCTTATGAAGTAAAATAATTAAAAAAGCACCCCCAGTACGATTGAACTCAAATATCTATACGGCATATTCAGATAAATTTTCTTTTCTTTTTCCTTTTCCCTATGTTTTGTAGGAACAATATATTTTCTCATCAATTTTTTAGGTCTAGGATGAACTGAACCTGTCACCAAAAAAAAAAAGAAAGA